GTACATTACGGTTTCCGTTCTTATCTGCAAAAAATCCAGCCTAGACCATTCTTAAAAACTGGTGAAATTCTAGCCTGGCTGTTCTTCGGCGCCCGACAGTACTGTAGCGAACCAAAAATCTAATCGGTCCAAATACTCACGTCATATCTGGGTCCAGATACCAGTATACGGAGGTACGGTGCAAAATGCCAGCTGCCAGGCTGAGATCTTGAAAATCTAAGTTTTCACACGTTTCCGTCACACCTGGAAAGACTGTGGAAGAGTCCTGTTCAGTGAAGGCACTGGGCAGGAGACTTGCTCTTCAAAGCAGAATGCCTGCAGGACAGATAAAAAGTTACTGGGGAAAATTTGGTAGACTATGAAGCAAGTTATTCGTGAATAAGACACTCCATGCTCATCATCCAAAGGCACACGGTCATATTTGGCGAGTCACTTATTGTGGAAGCTCAGTTCGTAGTTTGCATATGGCCTGCATATTCACCGCTCTGTGTGTTTTATGTCTGTGTGTACATGTGTGTGTGTGCGTGCGCGCGCGTGTGTGTGTCTACATGCGTGTGTGTGCATGTGCGTGCATGACTGGTCTGTATTGTAGAGTTGTATTTTGGCAACTCGTTCTGGATCGGCGGACAGAAGTTCGACATGGACGCATCCGACGGATTTCTCTTCGGTGACAACATCGACGTAAATTTCTTTTCGGGGAGAGCAAGATCGGTGAGTCATAATGGCTGTGAGTCGCAGGTTTACATGAAGCGGTTTCCTGTAGCACACACAGGTTTCCAATTTATTGCATTCCCAACTCGTCACAACCATGCGCTCTCAGCCGAACCATACAGACAGTGAGAGCGCGTGGTTGTGACGAGTTGGGAATGCAATAAATTGGAAATATGGCCGTAAGCTCTGTCGCAATATTTACACACAGGTTTGTGTCTGAAAATCTCAACACCTGTCACAAATAGCGTCTTGTCCAGCTAACTTGCAGTTGGCTTACCAGTCGTCCCACGCCCATACTTGTGGAGACACTTTGGACTTGCAGTGCACAAGACCAGGGCACCGGGTGTGCTGTACATGTACGCTTGCAGTGCCGTGCTCAGTGAAATCCGATCGAGCGAGTCAGCTTTGCGCCCTGTACGAGGTGGAAATCCCAGTGTTGGCATGTCCAGGGCTGCACAGCGCTGCCCGGTGTGTACTTGACTCGCTCTATCAGATTTCATTGGGCAGCCGCACTGTAGTTCCTATCAATGATATCAACAACAGTACTGTAAACACATGTAATTTTAGGTGTATTGCAATTTCGGTGTCAGGGACCTGCCAGGTTTCAGGTGTAATTTAGAATTAGGTGACCAGCATTCCCTGCACATACAGTGCATGCTCTGGTGCCTTTTAGGCGTAATCTAAATTTAGGTGCTTGTTTTCTCGACCGAAATCAGCGAAATTAAAGTTACACCGAAAATATCAGTACTCTCATTGGCCACAGGCCATGGTGAGAATAAAAGATTTCAAAAGTACATTATGAACAGTGCAGTCGAACCTGTCAAGGCGACCACTCGGATAAGGCGACCACCTGCCCTAGAAGACCACTGAACCCAGGACCAATGGGTGTTATTTCCAGTCCAGTGACCCTGGATAAGGAGACCACCTGGTAACAGAGACCACATTTTGATAGTCCCTTGAGCGGTCGTCTTAGACAGGTTTCACTGTACATGTACACACGTCAGAGTGTGTAGATGGGACCATGGCTTCCATCACTCGTCTAGGAATGACGTAAGCCACGCATGAACTCCGCTGTGCATAGCCCCTACGCAGAGTGGCACACTCTCATTGTTGTACTCTTGATAATAATAACTACCGGTAGCTCGGTGTATGAAAACCCGAGCACCCCGCTTGCGTAGTGTTGTCGTCACGAGTCTGACTCGCGCGAAGGGTGGGGGGGGGGGGGGGGGGTAACCCTGGAACACATCATAGTTGATGCAGGCGATTTGCAAGGTGGCGCGGTGCACGCAGCTCAGCTGCCTGCCGATGTGCAACAGAAACCCTACTTGACCCCCCCCCCCCATTGTATGCAATGATGTAGTCCCAATGCCTTTGCCAATGAGCCAAGGGTTTCGTCTTATCCATGTTTTACTCTACATGCATTCTCTACACTAGTACAGTCAACTTGGCTAATAACGACTGCGGATATAACGACAATTCGCGAATAACGACAGACTTTCCATGCCCAGAGCAAAGTCCATTCTAACTGTATACATTGTAATGAGACTTCGGGTATAACAACACTTCGCGAATAAGGACACTTTACTGATGCTCGGCCTAGTGTCGTTATACGCAAAGTTGACTGTAGTATAGTGTGTGTGTGTGTGTGAAATATCCCGTCTTTTATTACCGCCTGTCCGAAATAAGCGCCACATCACTTCAGGGCTTTTGTGTGGATTTTTTCAAACTGGGTGAAATTTTAGGGCTCGCTTACTACTAAGCACCGCGGCCAGTGTTGCCGAAAATTCGGTATGTTTTTCTTTATCGGCCACTGTGACTTTTCCATGATGGTTGTTTGCATGCCGCTGAAGTACGCTTTTTGTTGTTGTTGTGATCTTGTGAATGTGTGTGTGCAGTTCCCATTCAGTGTTCCCCAGGTGGGACAACCTACTAGTGTCTTGCAAGCTCTTGTCAATATCCGCAAGGACTCCTTGAAGCTAACCAGGTATTGCGTTGGTGTTGTTGGTCTGTAGCTGACTGTGGGTGGGTGAGTGGGTGTGGGTGTGTACGTGTGTACCACTGCGATAGGTTGCGGGTTCGATTCCCGACGATTATGGTCACATACGTCTTTCTTCTCTTTCTCAGACTCTTCCTGACTTTTCTTTCATTCTTCTGGGTGGTTACCAACAGCCAGTGCATGCCGGAGTATGTGGTGTGATGTGTGTGCGGGGGGAAAAAATGAAAAGACTAAAAGTAGGGATTCACTGGCCAGAAAAAGTCACTTCAAATAGCTGTATGGTGTAGACCAGGCTGAATAGTGACGGTCAGTTCTTCAGCCTGGCAAGCTGTTGAATGGTGCAATCCCAGCACAAGTTGCGATGGCTTCTGCCGTAGCATTGCTATCATCGCCTCCGGCGATGGGCGTCAAAAGGTCAAAGGTATGTGTGTATATGTGCATGTGCGGATGCACATGTATGTTTAGGCGGGCGTGTCTGGAAGTGTGTGCATACATGTGTGCGAACGCGTGCACGCTTTTTTTGTGTCGTGTGAAAAACGATGCACTGGACAATGGATTGGTTGCAAATAGCTAGTGTATTCTGTGCTCTGTGTGCTCTCAGGGATGCAGACGAGCCCACTCTCTACGCCGTCGAGTTTATTTACGATGCTGACGTGGAATCCGTGGTCACCATCTTCCTGCAGGCGCGTGAAATCTACCGCGATGGCGTGTTGAGGTGAGTGTGTGTGTGTGTGTGTGTGTTTAAGGTATCTGTTCAAGATTCCTTCTGGATCTCTCCGGGGAGACCCACGTGACCAGTTTTGGCAGTGGACAAGCACAAGCACAAGTGTGTGTGTGTGTGGGGGGGGGGGGTGATACACATATGCGAGATGTCCTGACCTGTACCGTCATTGTGTCTCTTGCTTACGTGGTTACTGTGTTCATGTTGTGAATGTGTTTACTCTTTGTTTTATTCTCTCTCTCTCTCTCTCTCTCTCTCTCTCTCTCTCTCTCTCTCTCTCTCTCTCTCTCTCTCTCTCTCTCTCGCTCGCTCGCTCGCTCGCTCGTTCACTCACTCACACACACACACACACACACACACACACACACACACACACACATACATACACAGCTATCAGTCACAAGTCAACGCTCAATCAAGCGGTGACGTGCTGGTCGCCGGTTACGGGCAGACATTCAAGTCGACCTACTTTCTGGCACCGGAAGAGGCCAGCGCTCGCATGCTGACGCTGCCGAGTGATGGACCCAGCGGTGTCTTCCCCCTCATTGTCATGTGTGAGGTCGGTGAATCAGGTAAGCTATTCTGCTTGTCAAAGCCTCCTCCCTATGTGGCATTGCTGACTACATTGCTGTCGGTCGCCGAAGAACTGCGGGTTAGCCTCCTAGCCTACTTCGAAGTAGACCGTTCTTATTTTCATGCATTACAGTCTATGCACAGTTGAGTCACCGTGTGTACATTGGTATGCTGTGCTTGATGAAATTCTAGCCTGTTTGTTCTTCAGCGCTACCCGACAGACAGTCCTGTAATGCCCTAGCACCTATTTGCTCCTGTCATTGGATTGGTAACTGGTGTTTCTGGAGCCGCCCCCGTCATGCTCTCCTCCTGCTCCTCCTCCTCCCCCTCCTCCTCCTGCACTACCCTGATTGTTTGGCTACACATTTGCTTGCTGTATAAAGTGTATTGTTTTGATTCCGAACTTGACAGCGCTTGCTCAGGGCATGCTGCTTGAATCCAAACCGGCCCTTGGACAGCATTAGCTCCTCTTCTGCGGAAATTGTCTGCTCTGGCACGTCAGCTACGGTCGTGGCCAGAGAAGTCTGACCCGCGAGTCGAAAGTAGCGCTGCGTTTCCCTTTCAATTACATCATGCACGTTCGAAAAGCCTGTCCGAGTGCAGCAGGGGCCGCATGAGGCTTGGCGCTGCTTTCGGCACGTGGGTTGGATTTCTTTGGCCACGACTGTACTTAAAAACACTGAGCCATTGGAGATATGAGTGAGCATGCCTTTTTCATCGTGTCATCGTCAGCAGGCGTGTCACTGTTGAGTGATGTTGCCAAGGTGAAGAGACCCAGGTGTGTGTACGTGTGTGTACGTGTGTGTTGGTGTGTACGTGTGTGTTGGTGTGTGTGTGTGTGTGTGTGTGTACGTGTGTGTTGGTGTGTGTGTGTGTGTGTGTGTGTGTGTACGTGTGTGTGTGTGTGTGTGTGAAAAAAAATGAAAAGACCAAAAATAGGGATTCGCTGACCAGAAAAAAGTCACTTCAAAATAGCTGTATGGTGTAGACCAGGCTGAA